TATGCTTCTATCTATAGCCCTGATCTCTCTCCCACAGTCCACACATTACAAGCATCTCCACTAGCATAGCCCACAGATGCTCTGAAATCAACATGGCCAAGGCTGAAGACAACCTCTTGCCCCAAAATGGGATTTCTCTCTTTTTAAAGGACACCAGCATTTGTAATGCAGAAGCCTGCAAGTCATCCAAGAATCCCTTTACATATGCACTCATGAGATAGTCACCCTTATTAAGATACTACCCTTTGAATATGTGACACACTTAACCCTTTCTTCAAACCTTCCATCACAGCATGTCATTACTTGGTGTTTCCCATATGAAAGGCACCCCTACTGCCGCTTCCCCTCCAAGTCAGTCTGAATTAGTTGGCCTGCCTCTGAGACCCAATAGCACTAATAACATTTAGCCCCTTCTTCTGTTGTAGAACTTATGGTTAATTATTTTAACCATGTGTTTCCTTTTTCATCACCTATGCTAGGCTGTGGTTTCCTCCAGGGCAAAGACTCTGCATTAACAGTTTTCAGAATCTCCAGCAACCAACATATATACAGCCTGGCATGCTATAATTACAAAATCAGTGTTTGTTTGTTGCATGAATTATTTGACAAATGGCTATTTTATACTATAAAAGTTGATTCATACACTTTGATCCACATGGAAGAGAAAACCACCTACAGTCCTACCACACAACCTGAACTATAGTCACATTTGGGTATATTTTCTTATCTTTACTTCCATGGATAAGATTTATTTTTACCTAAGCATAATCATACTGCACTTGTAATTTTGAATTTTGCTTTTTCACTAAAAATATCATATTTTTTTCATATTGTTAAGTATTTTTCCATCTTTTTTTGAGATATATTTGACATATAATAGCATTGTGTAAATTTAAGGTATATAACAGGATGGTTTGACATATGTATATATTGCAATATGATTACCACAATAAGGTTAGTTAACACGTGCATCACCTTACAATTATCTTTTTTGTGTGTGTGGTAAGAACATTTAAGATCTACTCTCTTAGTACCTTTCAAGGATGTAAGATGGCAGTGTTAACTATAGTCACCATGCTGTACATTACATCCCCAGAACTTACTTATCTTATAACTGGAAGTTTGTACCCTTTAACATCTCCCGTTTCCCTCACACCCCCAGCACCTGACAACCAGCCATTCTGTCTGTTTCTGTGAGTTTGTTTGTTTTATTTATATTCTACGTATAAATGAGATCATACAGTGTTTGTCTTTCTCTGACTTATAATATTTCATTTAACATAATGCCTTAAGGTCTATCCATGTTGATACAAATGGCAGGATTTCCTTCTTTTTTATGGCTAAATAACATTCCATTGTATGTGTATATATCACATTGTCTTTATCCATTCAACAATCAACAGATACTTAGGTTGTTTCCATGTCTTGGCTATTGTAAATAATGCTGTAAAGAATATGGGGGTGCAGGTATCTCTTTAAATAGTGATTTCATTTTCTTTGGGTAAATACCCAGAAGTGGAATTGCTGAATCATATGGTAGTTCTATTTTTAACTTTTTGAGGAAACTACATACTGTTTTCCATAATGTCTGTACCAGTTTACATTCCCACCAATAGTACACAATGGTTCCTTTTTCTCTACATCCTCATTGACACTTATGTCTTGGCTCTTTTATAATAGCCATCTAACAGGTGTGGGGTCATATCTCGTGGTTTTGATTTGCACTTCCCTGATGATTAGTGATGTTGAATATCTTTTCATGTACCTGTTGGCCATTTGTATATCTTCTTTGGGGAAATGTCTCTTCAGGTCCTCTGCCCATTTTTTTTTTAAATATTTTATTGGGGAATTAGGGGATGGGAACAGCGCTGGGGAATTGGGGAAGGGGAACAAACAAGTTGCTGTCCTTCTGCTCTTCAGTCTAGTTGTGAAGGACGTTGTTTCACTGGCCTATGTTGGTATTATCATTGCACTTCCCGGGTGAGGCAGATCGGTCACCAGCCACTGGATGGCAGCTCACAGCGGCTCTTGGCAGCTCACACTGGCTGCCAGCCGCTCATGACGGCTACCAGACACTCACAGTAGCTTCACTGCAGCCTATGCCGTCGCCAGTGACTCATGGCAGCCCAGCTCCAGGTCGAGCTGTTGTTCACCATCTTAGCTGTAGAGGGTGGGGCGTCACTGGTCCTAATGCGGGATCCGAACCGGGGCCCTGCTACTCAGAGCTGGTATCCTAAGCCAACTCTTAACCAACGCGCCACTCGGCCGGCCCTCTCTGCCCATTTTTATTTCAGATTATTTGGGGGTTTTTTGCTATTAAGTTTGACTTTTATATATTTTAGATATTAACCCCTTATGAGATAAATGGTTTGTAAATATTTTTTCCCATTCTATCAGTTGCCTTTTCATTTTGCTGATTGTTTCTTTTGCTGTGCAAACGCTTTTTAATTTGAAGTAATCATATGATAAAATGTTGAGTATCATAATTTTTTCATATTGTTAAATATTAATAGTATCATGAAAAAATGTTTTTGTTTTTTTCTTATAAGCTGATTAGATAATTTAAAAGTACAGAAAGTATAAAGAATAAACAATCAACAATAATCACACTGCTCATAGGTATAGTTATTAACCACTTACATACTTTATTATACTCTCTAAAAATGAATGTTCCATGGCTGAACTACATTTTATACTGTTACAGCTTCCTTTAGACATTATGATATCACAAACATTTTCCTGTGTCATTTGAAGTATTTCCAAAATATTTTTTAAGGACTGCATAGTAGTCCATTATATGATTGCTTTATAATTTAATTAACTACTCCACTAATGCTGGACTTAAAGAATACTTACAAAAATTGTTACAAATTAGTGTAAATAACATAACATATACATATATATATATATATATATATATATATATATATATACACACACACATTTGTGTGTGTTTCATAACATAAATTACTGGTAGTTAAATTCATCTGTCAAAACATATGAATACTACAAAGCATTTGATATATGTTGTCAAAATGCCTTCCAGAAAGTTTTTATCACTTTGTCTCCCCCACCAAATAGGAGAAGGCAATTGTCACTGCACTCTCCCCCAATACTTGGATGTTATTGTCTATCAGAGTGATAAGTTAAAAAAAAAAAAAACTTAAGTTATTTTTATTATTTTCATTGCTAATGAGGCTGAAGCCTTCAATATTATAAATTGGCTTCTTTTATAAATTACTTGTTTATGCCTTTGGGACATCAGTTTTTATAGAAATATTACTATTTTTCTTATTTAAATAATTTCTCAATATCAGAATAACTTTTATTGATATTTTTCACAAATATTTTTTCTTAACATATTGTTTACTCTTTAATTTTATTAATAATCTTACTTACATCTAGATTTTGCTGTCTATGTGATCAATTCAGTATTTTCCTTTATAATTTCTTCAATTGTAACCTTAGAATGGGCTTTTCTATCTATAAATCTGACAAGTACTTAGCTATCTTTCCATCTAGTATTTTTATGTTTTGATGGATTATTATATTTAATGCTTTTATCCATTTTTATTTATTTTGGCATGTCATGTGAAAAAGAGGTCTAACTTGATTTATTTCTCCCCAGAGTTAAGCAGTAAGTTAAGCATCATTTTTAATAACATTATAATTTTCTGCATTGTATTGCATTTCAAGACAAGATTACTAAAAGGAAGCCAGGATAATGTTTCTGATGAAATTAAACCTCTTAATGTAATTTGGAACATGAGTGAAGGGTATGACATTCCAGAAGGCAGGGGCAGGGTGGGGCCAAGTATGTATTAGGCCTTGGAAGGAAAAGTCCCATTTCTGGAGTATCTTCAGGCTGGCGCAGTTGCAAAAGAAAATGTAGGAATGTGCTTTTGGAACCTCTCAGCCCCAAGAGTATTCACACATACAAAGGATGAATTTAGCAATGCCTAGGTATGATGTTGTCACTCCCATTTCTATGGAGGTCTATAAATACCACGAGATGGGAATAAGAGAGAGCAGATGGGGAAGATATTATTTTAATTTGCATCACTTCATACACAAACCTCAATCCTGACCCTATGTTAAAAAACATCTCTACGAATTGCTAAACATTTTAAAGACTATAGGAACACTATATAAACTGAATGAAAATTTGTCTGCAAAAATCTAGGCTGCCATCATTAACATGTGCAATTCATGTATTTATTCAAAAGTTGGGGTGATTTTCCAATAGGAAAGAAATCAGTAATAAGACCATTCCCTCCACCATAGGTATAGATCAAGAGTGTCAGTGCATATGGCGGTGATCTTAACAGATGGCCTTCACTTAACAGATTTGGGTTTTATTTGGAAATTCAAGTACAGTACCTAGCAGCAATTGCCAAGGACCTCTGTTTGGTTTGGTAGGCAAAAGTCAGCTAATGTACTCAGGCACAGTACTAGGAAGTTTGTCTTTGCTCTTTTCAATCATCATAACAGAAAGATTTACTTCTTATAATATCAGCATTATCATTTTGCAGAACTGAGTGCATCAGAAAAAAAGAGAAAATGTTGCAGCTGCATAAACACACACACACACACACACACACACACACACACACTTTTGGCTCAGCTTTACTGATGAGCTCTTGACTTGGAAATGAAACAATTTTGTAATTCATGCAATTTAAGAAACAGACCAAAAAAAAAAAAACTCACTAAATAAGTAGTTGCCACAGAAACATAACAAATCCTTAAGTTACCCAGCCACAGCCTATATACAAACTATCCAGATTTTTCTCTTTAAAAAATTATAGAATATTCACACGGGAAGGAACTCAAACCATATTGTAGTGCAACTTCCTTGTCTTACATGCTGAGGTTTTCAACTTGATTTTACAATGCTTTTTATCATTACTGTTAACCAATAACTGTTTCTTAGCTTTTTTTCCCAGCCAGCTTACAAATTTCTGACGCGCAGAGGCGGCGTCATTGGTGCATGGCTCACAAGCATAACGGAGTGCCTCAGGCATGAGAGATGCTCAGTACACATTGGACCTGGTCCTGGTGCTGCACCCACACCTTTCCGTATGATGCCAGGTAAGAAAATGCATTTATTCTGTGTTGTTGGATGGCCCTTAAGGATTTAAGGATGAATAAGACAAATTTTTAACCATATGGTGATGGCAAAAATAACTGGCATCTGGCCAAAAATGAGTTAGCTACCTTATTATTCAAGAATAATGATCTGTTATAGTTTGTGAGTCATCCAGGCCTCTGCCTTTTTTTCTCCTATGTAAGGGGAAGTGAGAACAGAGGGATGCAGACTTTTCAGGCTGGGTGTTAATGCCAGTTCCTTTTATGGGTCTAGTCAAACGCAGGGTTGACCATCTTCATGACCACTTGAAGCTCCCTGAAGCCTTTCCTCTCAGTGTGTAGTAAATGACTGATCCTAGGGTTGGGAGGGGGCTTTATTTCTTACACCATATTTGAAAGTCTTTACTCATGTTTTATTTCCAGCAATTAAAAATGGAAATTTGGTTCACTGGTAATTTCAGAAACTATGAATTGCTAACTTTTTTATAGCTCTATCAAGGTATAATTAAAATAATCTAGTTTTAGAGCATTTTCATCACCTCAAAATTATCTCGTACCCATTTACAGTTAATCACAGCTCTTACCCCCAGCCCTAGGCAACCACTGATCTGTTTCTGTTTCTATAAATTTGCCTTTTCTACATAAAAATGTAATCAGATGTACAATATACAGTCTTCTGCACCTGGCTCCCCTCACTTAGGATAATGTTTTCAAGGTTCATGTTGTGGCATGAATCAGTAGTTTTTTCATTTTAATCGTTGAATATTACTCCATTGTATAGGTTTGCCATCTTTTGTTTATCTATTCACCAGTGGAAGGGTGTTTGAAAAGTCTGGGCTATGGTGAAGAATGCTTCTATGAACATTTACATTTCCATCCTTTTGTGGACATATGTTTTCGTTTCTCTTGTGAAGATTCCTCGGAGTGGAATTGCTGGATCATGCGGTAAGTTTATGTTTAACTTTTTAAGAAACTGCCAAACTGTTTTTCCAAAGTGGCACCAGCCGTGCATGAAGGTTCCAATTTCCTCATCTCTTACCAACATGTAGTATTGCCTGTCTTTTGGATAATTGTCATTCTAAGGAGTGTAAGATGGTATCTTGTGGTTTTGATTTTCATTGCCCTAATGACCAATGATAGTCAGCATTTGTACATGTTTTTATTTCCATTTGTATATCTTCTTTGATAAAATGTCTATTCAAATCTCTTACTCCTTTTAAAATATTGGGTTATCTTATTATTATTGAATTGTAAGAGATTTTTATATATTACTAAAATTAAAACCCACTCTTTCTCTCTCGTTGTAGGGGAAAACCTCAGTTCAGTCCATCTCCTGAGTGTTTCTTTTACAACTCACACAAAACGCTTCACTTCTGATACTCCTGGTCACCAAGTATGTGTAGGTTTTTCCCACAACAAGCAAATCTCTGATATTGGCTGGGTGTCCTAGAGTTTAACTCAATTCTGACACTGTCTACCTGGAGATAGCATCAGATTCCACAGGGTAAAGGCTGAGTCCCACAAGACCATTCCCAACCTACTTCAGAGGCAAGTAAGAGGCCATCAGATTTGGCTACAAATCAGAGGTTCCCATGACCCCTTCCTCAGGTTTGACTAATTTGCTAGAGCAGCTCACAGAACTCAGGGAAACACTCACTTATGATTACCAGTTTATTAAAGGATATAATAAAGGATACAGATGAACAGCCAGATGAAGGGATACATAAGATGAGGTCCGGGAGGGAGCTTCTGCCCCCATGAATTTGGGGTGTGTCACCCTCCTGGTGTGGATGTGTTCGCCAACCTGGAAGCTCTCTGAAACCTGTAGCTTTGGGATTTTATGGAGATTTCATCACATAGGCATGATAGACCATTAACTCCATTTTTAGCTCTTTTCCCTTTGTAAGAGAATAGGGGGCAGGGCTGAAAATTCCAACCTTCTAATCATGGCTTCGCCTTTCTGGTGACTAGCCTTCATCCAGGAGTCATCCAGGAGCCCACCCAGAGTCGTATCATTAGAACAAAAAAATGCTCCTGTTACCTAGGAGATTACAAGGGTTTCAGGAGCACTGTGTCAGGAACTGGGGGCAGTGACCAATATGTGTTTTCTATTATCTCACAATTCTGAATACAGTTCATTTACAAAGATATAAGTTTTAAATATTTTCTCCCAGTCTGTGGTTTATCTTTTCATTTTTTAAATGGTGTCTTTTGAGGCACAAAGTTTAATTTTAATAAAGTCCAATTGAGCAATTTTTTCTTTTAAGTGTTAATGATTTTGATATCAACTGTTTTTATATTGTCAAAATAAGAAATTTCATATAAATATATTTAGCATCATATATGCATAATACATTAATTTACATAAATATATTTAATATGTTATATTAAATATATATGTAATATATACTATTAATTTATATATTTAATATATTTAGTATAATAATATAGAATAAATATTTATATTAAATGTAGGTTATGGGGAAAATTAGTACCAAAGCTTTCTGTTTTTCCTCCTGACCTACTTTATATTTTGAATAGAAGCAACAGTAGCACTCTATTAAAAATTAGTGTTAAGATTTTTCAAAGCCACAGCAAAAGAAACCCACCATATATAACGTAAAGCTGGAGACCCAATCTGACACCTGGACCATAAGCACACTTCCTAAACCAAGCTTTATTTAATTGTATTAGTTGAGCAAACAAAACTACACAGACACTCTTCTGTCTGCCTTGTTGACTTCCTTCCTGTACTGTGCTTCCTGTGTGTGTTTTTGTCATTGTTCTTCATTTTTTTTTCCTGCCTTTGCTGGAATTGTCACCATGCGATGAGGAGACCCTCAAATCCCCAGATAACTGGTTTCCCAAAGGGTTGCTGGATTTGTTGTTTCTTTTTTGTGCTGATAGGAGCTCTGTGCCTGCCTTTTGTTGAGCAGCAAGTACATATTGGCAGCAAAAGCATCATTAATATAATGCTTTCTGCTTCTGAGGCAGCTTGCTCATTAGTGCCTAGCATACCGAACAAAGAAGTCACCTTCTAGAAATAATAAAGAGAAATGAAATATTGACAGTACAAGCAGAATCCCTTCTCATGTGGCAAAGGTGGAGGTAAAAAAGAAAGAAAAAACCCCAGAATTCTGAATACCAAATTCAAAAGCCTTTAAAGCTGGCATCTGGAAGAATTTACTCCTCCTCCTGAATCAGCCGTCAGTGGGCAGCAAGAGCTGACAAATGGAAGCTGCAACTGTGTATGCGAGAGCAGTAAGGGAAGGCGGGAGAGTCTGGAGGGATTAAGAGTTGAAGCAGAGCCATCAGGGAGGGGATGGCTGAAGGTGTGTGGAAAGAGCACATAATTCTTCATGCTAAATGCCAGCCAGGTGTGGCGATTTGTGTGGTAGGATGGAGGTATTGACCTTGAACTGGAGTGGGAATACAGTATCCTCTGAGATAACGAGATAAAAAGGAAGACAGGGTGTGGCTTCAGATCAATTTGTTATTTGGGTGGAGTATAAAACCGAAGAGCTCCTGCCTGATGGAATCCATTGTATTTGATGAAGTAGGAGATGAACTCATCTGAAGAGTTCGAGCAAGGGGATTAGAACGGTGAAGTGTTGGAATTGTCAGTGAAGGAGGTAGAGACTAGAGAAAACCAGAGATAAGTAAAGGATGAATGAATGAGCACAACTAGGATGAGTAAGAATGATAAGGCTATGTGGTTTCCTCCAGCCACACCTGATGGCTAGTACTTAGGAGCAATGAGAAAATGGATTGACACAGGTTTGAGGTTTCCTAGGGGAGGAGGCTGACACAAAGCTACAGGGGAATATCCAGCTGGGAAGTATAGTTTGGATGGTTAATCATATCTTCCAGGATGAGTAGGAGAGAAAGGGAGGTGAGAGGGTGTTAATACCAGCGGTTTCCAAACTTACCTGTACATAGAATCACCTGAGGATCTTTTAAAAACTGCAAAGCCCACGCCACATTCCAGGTAAATTAAATTGCATTACCAGGTGTGGGACTAAGGCACAGGCATCCAAACTTTTTGAAGCTCCCCAGGTAATTCTAACATGGAGATAATTTGAAAACCATTGGGCACATACATTAGGACGGTGGTTCTCAAAGTGTGGTTTCCAAGCCAGCAGCAGCAGCAGCACCTGGGAACTCGTTAAAAATGCAAATTCTTGAGCCCCACCCCAAACCTATTGAATAAAAAATTCTGGGGTCAGGGTTCATCAATTTGTCTTAATGAGTCCTCCAGGTGATTCTGATACTTGTTAAGGCTTGGCAGCCACTGAGTTAAGAGAAAAAGGGATCTTGGTCTTGGTAATCCCTTGAAGAGCAGGAATAGTGAGAGAGCTGGAGGTACCCTCTGATGTCAAGCATTTCCAGAGGATAGCTAGCTCAGCTTTGAGTCTTGAAACGTCTTTAGGGCAGGAACTAAATGCTCGTGTGTTGGATGGTCATTCATGTATATGTTTAGATACTCCAGGGTTATGTCAGGATTTGGGCATGGTGAGAAAACTTACAGTCCAGACCACAGGCCTAGATCTTCAGTGTTTATACAAGATAGAAAATGGTAATATCAAGTGGCCTAAACTTTGATGGCATTTATACATGGTGGGAAAACAGCACCGGGGAGCTGGGAGGCTCCTGACACCAATACCTGACTCCTGTCTGTGGACAGTGGCAGCCTCCACTGGAGAGGGAAACAAGAGGACATGCATCTTTGGACGAAGGTAGGCTTCAATTTATGGTGGTGGAAGGACAGTGTAAAGAAGAAAATGTTGAAGCGTTTATTTTCTGGGGAATGGTGGATTCAGAGGGCATGGTGGAAAGGGGAAAGGGTTTGGAGAGAAGGGTTGAGAGTGGCAGGAGCAGGAGGAGGGTGCAGCAAGCCACAGAAGATGAAAGAATACCGGATGGATATGTGGGTATAAAACAATGGGAGGGGAAGGCATTTGCCTTTGGGTCAGTGGCCATAGATTATCAGTAAGAGAGGCCTTGGTAGAAATGACTAGCTTCTTCGACATGTGCTATTTGGTGACTGTAGCTGATGGTAGCAGACAGTCCTGTCACCATGCCCCAGGAAGCTGAATCACCATGTGGTGGGAGCCACATTCTCTAGTGAGGCTGCTTTGTGCTGGGCAGAGAGGCCGCAGGCCTCAGGAAGCAGCCTCGAGGTGGATGGCAGTGGACAGGCCTGGTCTGTGACTACCTTGTTCATCTGGGAGAATTTCCTCCATCTCAGAGCTCGGGATCTTCTACCCAGCAGGATGTGCCTGCCTGCAAATGGCTCTAGGGCCCAATTGTTATCATACTGGAAAGCAGGATGAGAAGAACCTTGAAAGCTTTTGGATATTGCTTATCCTGACTCTGACAGATAAGCGAGAGAAGATGAGAAAATGAGGAAGGAATTAATCAAGGACAACAAAAGCAGAAGAAACAGGGCCTCTTTGCTGGGCTGTGTAGTTTGGATTCTGATTTTGGTCTGACTCATGGTCACACTGAGGATTCTGGGATGAATTATATGCAGGTATGAAGCAGGTGTTCTAACCGCCACAAGAGGTAGCTTAGTTTACAGAGCAACACAGTTGCTTGGGCTGGTCCAAGGGCTAAGTTGTGAAGCTGCTGAAATTTGTTTCTGATTGTATGCTGTTTGGGGCCTTTCTTCCTCCTCCAGAAATCCTTCTCCTTGGGTTTTTCTCATCCTACAATCCTGCACTCACCCTTCAGGAACATGCCCAGGGGCTCAGGGCTTGGACAGCACGAAGGCTTCTCTTTCTCCTCCTTCCTAAGGTTTTGATGTGCGGCCATTACAGACACTCACTCCTGGGAGGCTCTTAGCGCCTGTCACATTCCCCAAATACTCCTGTCACAATTCTTGGGGGTATTAAGGTCCATAATGGAAAGCCTTTCAATTTTTTGGACTTAGGAATAACATTTAC